CAGCAGCTTTAGTTTCTTTCTCTGAAACCAACTGAGAGTTTCCTTGGCTTTGTGTTTGGGCTCATTGTCTTGCTGAAATGTCATGCCACGTTTCATCTTCATCATCCTGGTAGATGGAAGCAGATTTTTATCAAGAATGTCTCTGTACATTTTTCCACTCATCCTTCCTTCAATTATTTGAAGTTTGCCAGTACCATATGCTGAAAAACAGCCCCACACCATGATGTTCCCACCTCCAAACTTCACTGTTGATATGGTGTTTTTGGGCTGATGTGCAGTGCCATTTGACCTCCAAACATGATGTGTATTCTGGCATCCAAACAGTTCAATGTTGGTCTCATCTGACCAGACTATATTCTCCCAGTATTTCACAGGCTTGTTTAAATGTTGTGCAGCAAACTTTAAAGGAGCTTCAACATGCTGTTTCTTCAGCAGTGGAGTCTTGCGTGGTGAGCGTGCATACAGGCCATGGTGGTTCAGTGCATTACTTATTGTTTTCTTTGAAACAATCGTACCTGCTAATTCCAGGTCTTTCTGAAGCTCTCCACAAGTGGTCCTTGGCTCTTGGACAACTCTTTTGATAATTCTTTTCACTCCTCCGTCAGAAATCTTGTGAGGAGCACCTGGTCGTGGTCGGTTTATGGTGAAATGATGTTCTTTCCACTTCTGAATTATGGCCCCAACAGTGCTCACTGGAACCTTCAGAAGTTTAGACATTCTTCTGTAACCGATGCCATCATTATGCTTTGCAACAATAAGGTTGTGAAGGTCTTGAGAGAGCTCTTTACTTTTACCCATCAGCAGATGGTTCTTGTATGATACCTGGCCATCATTTGGGACTGAACCAGCTGATATTAACTTGCACTGACAAGGTGCAGGCTTGCTTTCTAATTACTGAGAGAGTTCAGCTGGTGTCTTGGCTTTCCATGCCTTTTTACACCTCCCTTTCTTCATGTGTTCCAATACTTTTTCCCTGTGCCATTCCACATTATTACAAATAACTTCATTTCTGGACATTTATGGTTTGATTTCTTTGTATGTATGGATCACTTGGGTTGTTACTGACATCTGGTGAAAATTTCATGTCATAAGCACCTCTAGTAATATATTTACCGAGAAAAATGGTGACGTGTTCAATACTTATTTTACCCGCTGTACAAGGAACACCCGTCAACAAAGAGCCAACGTGGTTTTTGTGTTTTCTGAGATGAATGAGCTATCAGTAAAAGTTGCTCACCGGTGACACAAAAGTCAAACACTTTGAGGAAACCTATATGTGACGTCAAAGCTTCCTGAGCAATCTGCAGTTTGTGCTGAGTTTGTGAGTCTGGGTGAAGTGAACCAAAATGTGTCATTGCTCCGATGTTTGGTTGTGGAGATTATTAACGACGAGAACAAAAATAGGGTGGAAGAAAAAAAGTATGGGGAAAAACCGAACAGCAGAGTGATTTATGGGTTTTGGAGCGTTAGGAGGAGAGGAGCCGGTGTTGATGATGATGAACAAGTGTGTGGTGAACTGCAGAGTCATGGCTGCTGTTCGTCAGCCTCGAGTGTTTTTCAGCCTTTGTGAGTGTGTGTAGGCTTATGTTTTTGTGAGGAGGTGGTGTGGGATGGGGGGGCTACAATGCACAGTGACAGCTGGCTTCTATAAATAAAAGTCACAGGCAGGAGGGTGAGACCCAGGGCTGGATGGAGAGGCAGAATGGAAGAGCTCAGAAGAACAAAAAAGGAACAAGAAGAAGGAGGGTAGCGCTTGGGGGCGGAGCTAGACATACTGTATGAGGGCGGTCCTCTAAGAGAGGAACTGATACAGACGTACTGACTTCAAAGAGTGTGAGTGTTGTGGACTGCTGTATTCTGGTCAGGACCCAGAGCACACACATCACTTCAACCTCCGTCTCGTCCAATCAGCTGTCCCGGCTCATGTGCCCCGCCCACTGCAGGGTGGCTGTCCTCCCATGTGTCATTACTGTTGCTGCCATATTTTATCTTACATCTGTCAGATTCCTTTCTTGTGATGTTTTGGCTCTCTGAAGAGACTCAAATCAAATCCTCAAAAAAAAAAAAAAAAAACAGACAAACAAGCGAGGGAGGGGTAAGAATAAACACAGGAAGTGATGGTAAAGGAATTAAAGTTATAAAAGCCATCAGCTCTCTGTGTGTCATCACACAAACAGAACTGGATTCTTGTTTCTAAGCAACTCAGTCCATTAATTTATCATGCAGGTTGTCAGTGATCCTGGTCACTGCAGGGCAGGGTTAGTAACAACTGATTGAGATGCAGCGTATCGTTGACAGAAGCAACTTTTACTTTCCTGCCTTCAGTTACAGCTTCTCTCTCTCTCTCTCTCTCTCTCTCTCTCTCTCTCTCTCTCTCTCTCTCTCTCTCTCTCT